TTATATCAATCAAATGTATCAAATTATCTATTGAACCAAAAATTGTTTTATGCGATCTTTACAAAAACTCGTCGTGAAAATGCAGAATCAAAGAATATATGAATATATGTTTCATTAGAAAGATATGAGTATAGATGCGTGATATATACTTTTATGAACCTGCCAAAGCCTTTTTCCATCTTGTTCGTTTAATTTGTGAAAATATCATTAAAACCAACTATTTTGAATTACTTTGATCAATGAATATTAAATGGAACACCTTGTATATATTCAATTTTATATGATCTTACGTATAATTGTATCCTAGTGTATATTAATATATATATTAATACATATAATATATTAATATATATAATAATATTAATATTAATGTATACAAAAATGTAAATGCAGAGATCAGACCTCCGTCAAAGCAAGGTTTGCCGGTGGTCGTGGATTTCAATATCTTCGTAGCTGATATTAATTCAATAAATGTGGAAGATATGGACTTCCGGTAAGTCACGATCAATTATCATTTATTACATCGCTTGGTCAATGAACGATTATCGTTTAATTACCTGTATACAATTTTCATAAAAATATTCATAAATATTTATAATATTCATAAATTATTTATATAAAAATATTCATAAATATTCATAATATTCATAAATTATTTATATAAAAATATTTATAAATATTTTTCATAAAAGAAATAAAAGAAAAATGTTTTATAATTAAAATAGGGTGGATATGTTCGTTCGACAAAGTTGGATCGAATCTCGACTCGACATGCCGGATTATATTTTCGAGGAAGGTGACGATTACGTTACGTTACCCCCTGAATTCTTTGACAGTTTATGGCAACCGGATCCTTATTTTTTAAATGCAAAAGTTTCTGGTGAGTACGATTCGTTTTAACGCTGTTTCGAGACTTCATTTGAATCGATTAAGGTAAATTTTATTGTTAATGGTTTCAATAAGATGCGATAAATAGGATAAATAAATAATATTATAGTTAAAAAAAAAAAAATGTAAATTTTTAATCAGATCAAAAATTCGTTATGTTGGAATTTGTTGTTTATGTTTTATTTTTCTTATTCTCATTCTTTTTCCGATAATAATATTATATGTTTCGATTACATATGATAAATGAAAGTTCACAATACGACAAGATATATATACTTTCTAATATTTTATCACAAGTTTTCATTAATCATCTTTATTATCTATGTACGTGTTATATCTGACAATATATCGATAATAATCTTGATTTGACAAACTTAATGTGAAAACTACATGTCACTGAAGTGAGAGAGAGAGAGAGAGAGAAAAAAATAATAATACAAAAAGTAAGTGACATTGAAATAACCTGACTGTTTTTATTTTCGTAATGACTTTTCGGAATAACGTATGATACGTACGGATTTCAATTTCGAAACGGATATCTTATTTAAATTTATAAATTGAATTAGATTAAAAATACTTTCTTCGTTTTCTTCTTTCAGAAATTGCAGCGTTGAATCACAAATTCTCCTCGGTAACGTTGTATAGGAATAAAACGGTGAAATATTCGGCACGAATGCATGCCATCATCGCATGCCAAATGGAATTTCAATTGTATCCGATGGACATTCAGATATGCCCTATCTACATAGAAAGTTGTAAGTTCAACGACAGAAAAGAATTACCGCATTATTTATATTCCGTAACTCACTCTCACATTTTAACTAATTAACGCCATTAAAAGTTATCAATCCATTCTGGAAAAATTTTAAACTCTAAACGACTTATGAGATTATATCGAGTTATTATATTATATTATATCGAGTAGCGGTAATAATGATAAAACAGATTGTTAAAACAGATTGCAATTTATGGTGGGAACTTCACAATGACGAATGAAGCAGAATGGACATCATTTGTATTCCATTTATATTCATGTTAATTGTTAAAGATTTGGAATATTTGTTTCTTAATCCAATCTTCTTATTAATTCGTTGCATTTTTTTTTTATTGCGTTATATTGGCATATATTAACGATAATTGAAATTAACAAATAGAGTAGATTGAGATATCCTGTAAAGCTATAAACTCTCAATCCATCAATTATCATTCATTTCTATCCAACAAAAAGTCATCAAATTGGACAGAATCAAACTATATTAACTTGGAAAAAATTGCGTTACTTCGCGATAGTTTCCTATCACAAACAGAAGTTACGTTTGAGATGGGGAACAGGTGCTGTCACGGTGAATCCAGAATTGAAACTTCTACAATACGACATCGGGAAACCTGTAGTTGCCGAAGAAACTGTTGATTATATGCTCGAAAAAAGTGGTATGATCTTTGTCTAATGACATTCGAATATTATGAAAAATATGTATGTTCGATTAATTTGCAGGAAATTTCTCACGATTGGTAGTTTTTTTCCGTTTTGAGAGGCAAATTGGTCATCATTTGATACAAACGTTTGCTCCATCCACGTTGGTAGTTATGTTATCTTGGTTTAGCTTTTGGTTGGGACTAGATGCGATTCCTGGTCGCGTGGCTCTTTTAGTGACCAGTATGCTGACCTTAGTTACTATGTTTACTGGTTTAAAAAGCGATATTCCTCCAGTTGCTTATGTGAAAGTAAGTTCTTTTATTAACATTTCAATAATATTTAATCCCTTTTATTGAATGCTTTTCCCTTAAATAACACATCTTATGGATATTTATTTTAATATTTTATCTAAAAATGAAAGATCCAATAATGAGAATAATGAAACGGCTGGAAGAATTATAGCATATTTCAAAATATTTCTTTGCTTTTATTAATCATAAGATTATTTTATCATATTACTTATTATAAATTATTATTTATTATTTTTTTTATGTTTAGGCACTGGACGTTTGGATGGCAGGTTGTATGATGTTTGTATTTGCAGCTCTTGGGGAATTCGTAGTAGTTAAAGTACTCGATTTGCGATCCCAGTTGGAATACGATTTGCAAACGTCGATAATGTCCCGACATTACTCAACAGTTCGTATGACAATTTTTTCATTATTCTTATAATTAGAATTAAATTTCATTTAATAACAAAATAAAAATACCTAAATACCGAAAGATTAATTATTTATAACGTCATATAATTTAGAAGTTATTATATAACACTTTTATTTTTATTATTTATTATTTTTATTTATTTATTTTTATTTTTAAAATTTTATTTTATCTTTTTATCGTTATAATATTGTATACATATAAATTATTAAGAATTCTTAATTTCATATTTATTTAAAAAATTGTGATTGTGACACAATATTTTTCTTAATAATTTTTTTCAAATATCGATGTTCAAGTGATTTTACATATTTTGTTATATTTTTTTTTTTTTTCATCAATTTATCAAACTTTACCAAATTTTGTTATTTTTTTTTCTTTATTTTTTCTTCTTGTTTATTTTGTCTTCAAATCAAAAAATTTTGAATATTTAGTTCATTTCATCTCTCATTATGTCTTTTGATCCTTACAAAAAATCTTAATTAATTCTAATTCAATATATATATATATGAACACATTGTTCAAAGTTAATACCAATATATTAATCAATCAAAAAATCTTATGAATTAATGATTAACAGGAATTCAATGAATGCGTCATGTATTAGATAAAATATAATAAGAAGAAAACATTAGATAAGATACAATAAGAAATTCATTGTACAAAAATAATTTTTTTTAATCAAAACATATTGTAAATTTATCTTTTATTTTTATACTTTAAATTATTATTGCTCCTATTTTCTTATATCTATTTATTTATTTATTTATTTAATATTATCTGATGATAATATTTCTTTAGCCAATGAGTATTCAAGCAAATTAAAAAATTATTGAATAAAAAAGATATTTTTTTTTGAAAAATTAGATGTTATAAAAAACATTTAAAAAGAAGGCTTTGCATAAATTAAGTAAAATTTAATATCTCTCTAACATTAGTAAGTTTGTAAAATTTCTCGTATTTTAGATTATCATCTATCTTTATCATTACTTTACCATCCAAATATGATGCATGTAAAGATTAGATATAACATATTATATTATTCGTATAAAAATATTTATCAATAATTTTTTGCATTATATTTTCATATACTAAGAATATCTTATATATATATAATTTTTATTAAATTTATTTTAATATTTATTTAATTAAATTAACTATTAGACAAATTATGGAATTCTATATACATAAGAGAATTGAAAATAATTTTGTAAGTAAAAAATTTATTGTTATTATTCCAAAAATAAACTTTGCCACTCGTAATAGAAAAATTTCATTAAATTATTAATTGCTTTTTATTAATTTATAAATAATAATTTGTTTTATATTATACCAAAACTAATTAATTATAATGATACAATATATAATAAACTTAAATAAAAAATAATACAAAATTCAAATATCACATTATTTTTAGCGTGCAATTGTTATCGAAAAAGGGCAAAGCATCTGGGATTATGATTCAACATATATACCAAAAGTAAAAAATAAAAAAGCTGGTAGTAAGCACCTTCTGCAAAGTGCATGGTTAGATCTTGAATATCCAATGATACGTGTATACAAAACACAATCACAAACAATAGATACTTATAGCAGAATAGGATTTCCTATATTATTTATGTTATTCATCATTTTGTATTGGCCGATACTTTTACTTAAAAAAGCAATGTAATTATAAAATATATATAATAAATAAGAACATATAAATTATTTATTAATAAAATCATGTTGTTATTAATAATATCATGTTGTAAAGAACTTTTCATAATTGTAATATCTTCAAACAAAAAACTTTATTAAAATTTTATATAAAACTTTATATAATTAAAATATATGAATAATTTAAATTAATATATAATATATTTTTATATATAGTTAATTTAATATATTAAATAAAAATAAATAATTATTAATTATATAATAATTAATCAATTTATGTAAAATGTATATTCTATATGTTCAGTTATTATAAAAAAACTATACATAATTTATATAAGTACATAAAATATTTATATACATATATTTGTATTCATATAATATTTGTATGACATAATCTATTTTCTTATAATATATGTTTTTATAATTATCTCATATTGTATATTTTAATTATTTTCTATTTCTTCTATCAAAGATTTTTCAAATTTCTTGTCGATTTCTATTATATCTATTTCAGAAACAATCCTTTCAGCTTTATAAACTCCAACTTTTTTTAAGTAACTCATTGTATATTGATTGAAATCACATCTGTAATAATAATAAAAAAAAATATTAGAAATTATTAAACAATTAATTTATAAAAATTATATATTAATTAAAATTATATTATTACATTTTACTTAGGTCATCATATTTCTTTTGCATATTTTTTTGCAACATTAACAATATTGGCATTTGAAGCGCTGTATTTATTCTTGGTCCATGTTTGGTCAATATTGTTTCTATCCAAAGAAGATAAAAATGTATATGTCTAGTAAATTCCAGTTCTGATGCAATGAATTTCAATATTTTTTCGATATAAATATCAGGTAAATTTGTTACAGTTAAATCAACTGAAATAAAAAAATATAATGAATACATATGTATTGAATATATTGAATATATTAAATGACTTATATTAATATTAATAAATTTTTATTAACTTACTATCTGAACAGAGAACATTTTCTATAACATATTTTATTAATGATCTTTCATTTAACTTCAAAGCCATCATTAATGCTAAAAAAAATTTTTAATAGCATTTTTTTTATTGAAGAAATTCAAAAATTATATATAAATTATAAACCTTTTGCGTATTGCATTTCATTTAAAGTTTTTTTCACAGCTTCTGGTGTAATTCCTAATTCCAATTGAAATGGATCAAATGTCAATCCATTATCTAATGAATATAATAATAATCCTTCCGTTGTTGCGGCAGCCCAAGCTTGACCTATAAAAAAAAAAAAAAAAATTAAAATTAGAATTAGAATTACTTATTATAATAATTATTTAGAATAAAATAGAAAATAAATTTAACCTGTTGGAGAAAATTGTAAACTATATACTCTAACTTCTGGTTTTATATTTCTACTAGCCATATCTCCACTTCTAACACCTGGTAATCGTATCTTTACATTTCCTCCTTCATATTCATCACGTTCTTCCACTAGCGCCAGATTTCCAAATTCTGTTAGATTTCGTCTATTTATAATATCCTATTAAAAATAAAATTTTATTGAAAAAATAATACTATTCCCCATTATAAAAATATTATAAAAATATTATAAAATTAATATAAAAAGTTACACACATCAACTGCATCTAATGATCTATTTTGTGTTATAATAAATTTTTTTACAAGTATATATTCCTGTACATTATAAATGCATATATTTTTGGATTGTCCTCCAGCTAATATACATGTACCATCAGCTGAATAGCAAAGAACCGAAAAAGCTCTAAAAATTTGATTTTAATTTTTGTTTATATTATTTTTATGTTATTATATATAATAATATTTTATACTTGTCCTTATAAAAATACTGACTTGCCCTTAAGATTTTTTTTAGCAGTAATAAGATCAGTATCAGATCTTCCACTACCTAGATCATTTCTTCCTTCAATACTACCAATTTGTACTGCTGTTTTACAATGAAAAAATGAAATTTGTCCATCTAAAGTAGCAACTGCTACTTCTTCACCATTTGGTTTATATGTAACAAATAAACCATCAGCAGTTAATTGTAATGTTTCATGAACAGAACCATTTTCAATCGCATTCCATATTTTTAAAGTTTTGTCCCAAGATACAGATACTAATTCGGTGCTTGCAACACTTGGATTAAATGCCAAACTAGCAACTGGACCTTCATGTCCACTTAATATCTAAAAATAATAAAAAATACAATATTTAAGTACAATAATTCTTTAAATTTTTAAAATATTAATATTTTGAGAATTCAATGCGAACATTTATATTTTTATATTTTAGAGATAACAATAAAAAATAATTTGAAAAATTTAAAAATTTGCAAAATTTTATTTTGATTTCATATTCTTTTTTTTTTTCATTCTGATTAAAAATTTTTTGTATAAAAGAATATTATTTAAAATTAAATTTATATAAAAACATTAATTCAATGTAAAATACCTCTAAAAGTGTACCCAATTTAATACTCCATAAATAAATTTCAAAAAAATCTTGACCTCCAGCTGCAAGAAACTCATCATTTGAATCTAAAGCAATGCAGGAAAATTGTACTGGTCGCGGCGAAGTAAGAGTTCGAAAATTCCTATATCTTGCTAAATCATATGCTCTAACAGTACCATCAAGAGATGCAGAAACAATAAATTTTCTATTATGACTAAATATCACTCCTGTTATTGTGGATGTATGTTCCTGAAATGTAATAGAACAAAATCCATTCATTGTATTCCATAATTTAACTTTTCCATCATCGCCTCCAGTAACTATGTATTGGCCATCAGGACTGTATGCTAAACAGTTCATATTGTTACTGTGACCTTGTTGCTTCATAGCATAAGTTTCACTTTGCCATTCCCATACTAATAATTGACCAGCTGAAGAACATCCTAAAGCTATCCAATCACCAGTTGAATTTATGGCAATAGATGTAATACATTGATTTGAAATACTGAAAAATAACAAAAATTATTAAAAATAAATATATTAATATTAAAAAGATTGATAAATCGCGATATTATTATACCTTAAAGAATGTATCATATTTACATCAGGTATTTCATACAAATAAAATGAACCATTGCTAAATCCTACGACTAGAATATTAGTTTGCTGATGATATGCAGCTGCAGTGAGTATTATTTTTTTTTTCTCATGCTTTTGAACTTCATTACTTAAATAATGACGACATAATTTGGTATAACGTAATTGCTTAACTCCTGTTTCATTTTCAATGTCTTTTACATCCAGTTCAAATGAATTTTCTAAAATATATATTATATTATATATTTCACGACATTTTTATTATTATGTATAATATAAAATTATAAAAATAAAATTATAAAAATAAAAATAAAAATAAATAAAAAAAATTATAAAAAAAATTATAAAAAAAAATTACGTGATTGTTCTAAATTATATTCATAAGCTTTCATTTGTTTATCTATTTTCTCTTTAGCCTTTTCAACATTAATATCATCTTCTTCATCACTATCTGTTTTCTTGTTTTTCTTAAATGGTGGTGATTCTAATGGCATTAAATCTTCTGGATCGATTGTACATTCCCAAATGCATAGTTGTCCATTTCTTTATAATATATTATATTATATTATAATAAAATGTTTTTCTAAAAATTAGATTCAAATTACATACCTGCTAATTGTAGTCAAATCATAATTTTTTTTTTCAAAAAAACATGTTACAATTTCATCAGAATGACCACCAAGATTAATATATCTAAAATTTTCATATTTTTCTAAACTATAAATTTTGGTAGCCATATCTTTAGAAGCAACAGCTAATAATTTTGAATCATAAGACCAATTAACGAAAGTTGTATCATCCATAGCTGCATGGAATACACGTTCCATAATAAATGGATTATATTCACCTGTTTGCAAGCCAGGTGCATTAAAAATAAATACTGAAAAAATAATCATCATTCATCTTCTTAATAAAAAAACTTAATTATATATTAATTATATATAAATAATTATAAAAATATACCATTATTTTCTTTGCATACTGCAAAATGTTTACCATTTGGAGAAAACTTTACACATCTAACACGTCGTTTAAATCTGTATTTGTGTATTACCATTTTACTAATCATACTAATTATATGAGCTTCACCCTCTATAAAAAAATTATTTAAATAAAATTATATTGAAATTTTAAGATTAATTTCTAAATAAAGTATATAAAAATTGTACCTTCATTAATTACAATTAATATTGATCCATTAGGCGATAAATCTATATTTATATAATTATATCGACTTTCTATAGGTAAAGTATTTGACTTATTACTGAAAA